TGATTTCAAACGGCGTTCTAAATGGGTAATTGTCTTCCCTGCAGATTTAACATCGCTATGTTTTGAATTTCGTTGTCTGGAAGACAGCCAGAGTTGTTGTGCTTTTGTTTGTTGAATTGGAAGCTTATGATTGTGCCACTTTTGTGAAAACGAATCAATGCAACCATCGATTATACTGTCAATTTCTGCAATAGACAGCTTTTTCATCTCTTTCTTTGAGGCGTCTATCTCCTTTTTTTCAAGTTCTATTTCCCTCCAGGTCTCAGAATCATAGCCATTTTCAGAACCTGATTCGCCATATAATGGCAAGCCTTGATCCTCCCCAGCTGGGTACTTTGTGAGCAGATAATCCAATTCATCCCGTCTCTGGCTGAGTTGTGGCCAAGCAATTATGTCCTCCTTTGTGACTTTAACGGCCCCTTCATTCTGTGAGAATAGTGTGAAATATTGAGGTTCACCCTTAGGTATGATTTTTGCGCTATATGGAAATCTGGCAACGGCATCATTTCCCTCTTTAGTTTCTACTGCACGGGGTTCTTCTAGAAAGTAATGCTGAACACGTTTATTCACAAAACGCTTCTGTCCAATTGGACATTTTGCCCCTTCAAGTACAAACGATTCGTCATCGCTATCTTCCATGTCATTGTAGAAGACGTCGGAGAGAGTTACCTTTCTTGGTCCAATATACTGGTAAGGCTGCTTGAATCCAGGCTTCTCCTGCCGGGCGCCTGGACCAGAGGTCGTTGGTTTGCTGAGCAACAACTTGCGACGTTTACTGCCGCTACTATCAATGACATAATGTTCGTTCGGGCGAACCTTCGACGAAGAACTACCAGCGGGTAAAATGACCTCAATCTGACCTTGCTCCTCTGAAGTGGCATTCCTTTCCCGGACCCGAGCATTCGCATTGCCATGCGTTGAAGTTTTAGGAATAGTTAAAGGAGAATGGACCGGCAAAGGAGAGTTCAGCGGCACACTTGGGCTCTCCAGCGGCAAAACAAATCCGAGAGCATTCTGGGGTGTAGTTGCCGTAAGATGAGGATCGCCAACGCGAAATGGCTGAATGTGTTCAGCGTACCTTCGTGATCGTTGTTGCAAATATTGAACTGCCCGGAATATCGTAGAGCGCTGTCCAAGCGACCTCAACCCCAGATCTTGCGCCAGGGTCGCCTTATCTACCTCTGTCAATAGAACTTCTCCAGTAACATCATTCTCTCTGAGGGTAGCTTCGAGAGTTTTGGGATCTGGGCGAGGGAGTGAAGAACGAGCCCACGGTGCAGATGAATGACAGAGGTAATTAATAACTTGATCAATTGACCATTCAAAGGGATCATCATCTTCGAAAACTTCCATGGCGCGCTATTGCTCAGGATATCAGTGTTGAATCGACAAGAAATATTGAAAAGAAATATCGAAAAGCTGGGCAAATGGAGGAAGAGAAAGTTTAACAGTAAACTAACTCCTAGCAGAAAGAAAAAAGGAATAAAAGAATAAAAAGAATAACAAAGAAGTATTATCCCATGAGTAGTAAATCAATACAAGCTTTGGTTAAGCTGTATCAGAATGCAAGGAGAAGGAACCACATAGCAGCAAAAGAAAGTGATAGAATGAAGCTCAAGACAAGGGCACACATTCTTAGGTAGCCAAGCGCTCAGAGCACAAGCCAACAATCAAGGTATGTATCTTACTTCAAAAGAGTGTCAGGAGTGAGTCAGGTAGTTAAGGGGATATTCACTCCATGGATGAACGGCAGCCAGCAACTAGTTGCCTTGATCACTCAGGACTCTGTGATAGTTGGCAGTTGAGTTGATGCGGTTGAATTGTTGAAGCCAGAGATGTGGTAGTTTTTACAGCACAACGTCAAACGTTTGGTAAACAACTGTGGGCGGTGAGGAGGAAGGGGCAGGGATATAGTGGGCAGAATTCTGCTGCTCTGATTGGTCTCACAATTTCTAAGGTATTGCTGACGTGATCAGCGCAGCTAACTAACTAAGTTAGTCAGTTAGTTAACTAACTAGTTAGCTATTAGCATCCATTATCAGATCCTGGATGCCCCGCGATCAACCGCTATGGGTAGATTTCCAATCCCCTGCACTACAGAATTCATATTCACAACGCTCTCCCTCATTTATTCCATGTTTGAATACAGACAGGCAGATAGAGCTCATCCTATTGTTTATTCATACTGCGCTCATTTCTCATCCAATGGACAGTTCAGTCTATGCTAATTACCCCCCACCACTGACTGCGGAGCAGCATGATTACCTAGTTTCCGCTGTTAAAACATGGGCTTTGCATCATGGGCTCTGTGTCAAACCCTCTCCAGCCTTTATTGGGAGACATTTGGATCCTCAAGGCGTCTTAGCAACCAATGCGCCAGTCACTCTTTTCCCGAGCCCTTACCCCAGGGCTTGCTTTAATCATGCGACTACAATCCAGAGAGCATACAACGAGCTATACGCGAGAATAAGCACGGATGAATCATGGCTTGGGGAAATTATTCAAGAGTAAGACTACTACTGCTTAATTCTGTAGTGATTAAGAAATAAAATTTGTAAAAGAGTTGTGTTTTGTTTCTCTTTCTCTGCCATTAGATTTCGCATTTCGCATTTGTTAATTCCTCTACGGTTGTATGGTTACTGAAATATTGCGACAGACTTATTGACGTAGATGACTTCGTCGCAAATCTCTGGAAGGTCCACCTCAGTGTAAAAACTGAAGGATATGTCCAACCACTTTCCCTAGGTCTTTTCCGATCCGATTATATCGCCCATAGACCCGTAGGCGCAACAGAATCATCTCTAAGACAGGTGGAGTTCAACACCATTTCCTCCTCTTTTGGAGGCCTCTCAGCTCTCGTAACTGCATTGCACACGGATCTCTTGTCATCTCCACCAGGAAATCCTGTCACGTATCCGCCTCATCCAATTTTAAATGACCACAAACCGCCAGAGAATAGCGCCGTCACATCGTTAGCAAGTGGTTTCGCAGCCGCACACGAAGCATATGGCGCATCAAAATCGGAATCCCCACTACCCCTCTGTATTCTCTTCATCGTTCAAGCCGGCGAACGAAACCTGTTTGACCAACTAGAACTTTCCACCCAGCTCACAAAATTCCGCAAAATTCCCGTCTTCCGGCTTGTGACATCAGACATCCAAAAGCTAACCTCCATCCCTGCTGCCAACCCCTCCAGGCCCCTGATATACAGCCCTCCCCATGCGCCATCCAACCAATTCGAAGTAACTACAGTGTATCTGCGCAGCTTCTACGGGCCAGGCGACTACCCCAATGAATCAGCGTGGGCTGCGCGAACACACTTGGAGCGATCTGCCGCCATAAAATGCCCTTCAGTCCTCAGCCAGCTCTCCGGCTGCAAGAAGGTGCAACAAGTCCTTGCCGACCCCAACGCCCCCACCGACCATCTCACCCATTTCCTCCCAAACACCTCCTCTGAAATCATTAAAAAGATCCGTGCAACCTTTGCCCCGCAATATGACCTCTCGGCATCTGGCCGCGGTCGCGAACTGGCCCTAGATCCCTCAACAGCTGCAAACCACGTCCTGAAACCGCAGCGTGAGGGCGGCGGGAACAACATTTACCGTGATGCGATTCCGCGATTCCTGCGCTCCATGCCGGAGAAGGATTGGAAGGGGTGGATTCTTATGGAGCTGATTCAGCCGCCTGATGCGGCGAAGAATATGATGCTGCGCAGTGATGGGGAGGTAATCAGTGGTCATGTTATTAGTGAGTTGGGCATATTTGGTGCGGTTCTTTGGAAGGATGATGGGGAAATTTTGCACAATGAGCAGGGTGGTTGGCTGTTGAGGACAAAGGGGAGGGAAATTGATGAGGGGGGTGTTGCAGCAGGATTTTCGTCGTTGGATAGCCTTGTACTTGTTTGAAATCATTGTCTATTCCTTCCCTATCCGAAAATAGATGATTGATGTGGAAGTTGTGGGTATACAGGGAGAGAATGCGGATGTTTCTTTTGATATAGACAACAAAGATATAATGCCCTCCCTTTTTCGGGCTTATTATGATTGACTTTCAGAAGTAGACTTCAGAATAATGATCAATGTGCTTGATTTAGATTATCAAAGCCCCATACTAATAGAAATGAGAGACTATTGTTCGAACCAAACTTGAAAATTCAGATAGAACTACCTAAAATAAAAAGATAAGAAACACAAAAACAACATGCCTGGGTAATCAGGATCCTCCAGGTAGCGTGGTAAGCTCGAAAAATCCTTAGGAAATCAATCCTGCTGGATTAAATTCTGTCCGTTCATAGCATTGCAGGAAACCCTCGGAAGCAAAACCAAAACAAAACTGATAACAGAACTGAAATTAAACTTGAGGGACCATAGAAACAGAAGAAGAACGCAGAGAGAAACAGAACCATGGAATGTATTGTGAACAAACATTTCATAATACGTGATAACTTCTGATCCGTAGAAATATCCCTGGATAGACTTTTCTCATTTACAAAACATTCGAGGAGAAGATAACTACCTTTGTCCAGTAGGAACAAAAGCTTAGCTCTTTAAAGAAAAAAAAAACTTGGGTATCAGAAATAGCAGAATGCAGGAAGTCTGTTGGGATATGTAAAAGTTCCCTTTGAGCAAGATTTTCCTGGTTTTGGACTCCAAAAATAGAGAGAAGAAATATATCGGTACCACGCCCGTCAAGCACAGTCGAAGTTTCCAAGATTGTAAAATTCAGAATAAAAAAGAGCAGGCCAAACTGGAGTTTTGTTAGAGATCTGATTGCTCCCCCAAATAAAGCTGCCGGGAGAAAGTCGGCTTGATTGCTCGAATTAATTTCCGGAAACGTGGGTAATGGGAGAGTAAGTCCAAAAAAAAAAAAAAAAAAAAAAAAAGATGGATGGATGACAGCTGTCTTATTTCTTTGAAATAAGACCAAAGACTAGATATCCTTAATGAAATTCTCTGGGCCGCAATCCGCTTGTTCCTATTCATACCATCTTGACTTTGCATTCACATTTCACTCTGCAAGAATTCTTCAAAAGAACTAAACTGAGGGTTGTCTTCTCCTAGGCGGTCAAAGGGGTTATTGCGTTGCATGATAACGTCTGTGTCAGTGTTCAGTCGATGATTCGAATTCTGGCGTATTGAAAACGGTCCAGAGCCGTTGAATCTGTGAAACCCTTCATCCGTCTGTCTTTGATTGATTAGAGTAGATGGGTTATCCTGAGTAGACGGGATATCCTGCCCAGGAGCATTTTGTTCAAATGGAATTTGCGATGAGCTAAAAACTTGCTGCGGTGTTGTTGATGGGTTCGACAGGAACTGAGTATTTGATAAGGTTGTTTGCATCATCGAAAGGGGCCATTGTTGTTGTTGCTGTTGCTCCTGTTGCTGATTTATTGAACCCGTAGCATGCAGATTATAGCTTAATACACTTATGGCGGTTGACGGGAACGATTGATGTAGGCGCTGGCCATGTCCTGGATGATAAGTATTTTGGTTCCAAGAGGCAAGCAGATTAGCCTGAGAGTTGAAATGATCGGCGGAGCCAACATCGGTCCCCAAGGATGGCAACCCGTTGTTCTTGGAACCACACCCGAATCCCGTTCCCGGAGTGATAAAGTTGCTTGGGAGCCCTGGAGCAGTTGAAATCTCCAGGTCTCCAAATCCCATTCCTCCCCAGGAATTATTAGAAGAATTGAAACCGCTCGATATATTGGCTTGATCAGCCCAGGTAGTCTGATCACTTTGAGCGGTGGTCCCTTGGACAGCAGATTCCTGGAACGGACTGAGGAGTCTAGGAGGTCCAACTCCTTGGTCGCTGTCGTGTTGTTGAAGATCGTTGGAACCAACCAGATTTGAATTTTCCTGTTCGCCCATTCCTTGCGTCTGTTGGGCTTCTGTTTCTGGAGGATAGTTGCTCGGTTCGGGAGCATCTCCTCGCCTCTCCCCTCGGGTTTCTCTAAACCAGGAAGGAGGTAGCATTTCCAAGGGCAGCTGGCGCCAGTCGTCGACTTTAGAGTTGGCAACTTTTTCTAAAAGTTGACCATGTACGGCCAGCGCCTCTGCCAGCCTAGCACTTGGGATGTGAAATTGTTGATCGACGAGAAAATAATCACATTGGTAGTAGATTGGCGGTGCGTCAGCTAGGTTTTTGGCTCGAAGGCACATTGGCACAGCTCTACGCCCATTTATTGGTTGATCAAAGTAAACCACGTCCATTGTCGTATTGAATGACACCTGTAGAGAGATAGGTGGTCAAAAAGCAGACGGACATGCATAAGTAATCTAAAGTAGAGGGCTGAGGCTTACCTGGTCCTGGCTCAACTTGTCTACCCGTTCTATCTCCGTCCTTGTCACTCCGCCGCGCCGGTTTGTCCAACATGACAGACCAAGAGGCGCACGAGCTTCCCGTTCCCGCCGCATATTGAGCGAATTGTCACTTGGAAGAACGGTCTTCGCGACTGTCATTCGAGCCTTGATGTCCCGATATGTCAATCGGGAGTCCAATCTCATCCAGTACTCAAGCTGCCAGCCCATCGGGCGCGCTGATATATAGCGCGGCAGAAACGGAAAGGCACGAATTACTGCCCCATCGTAATCATTCACCTCCTGACCATTCTCGATCATATTGGGAATTGGTGTTGTTGGACGCTGATTCGGAGGATCCAGCTGGAACAACAGGGGCGGGAGACTGCCGTTGTCATATTCGCAATTCGCAGGGTGGTAACAAGTATGATTGGCATCTGGAGGAAATGTGTCTATATATACAGAAGTATTAGGGATAAAGTTCACAGAAAGGAAAGAGAAAAAATTCACTCACGGCGGCAGTGTAACACTGAAGATGCAGGGGCTGTTATCATATTAGCACATGCATAAATTTATGAGAAACATATCAACAAACCTGGGATTACAGCTGGAATTGAGGCTAACTGATTTTGTTCTGATTCAGCCATCCTTCCTTCCATAATCTTAGGACAGCTTTAAACTCATGAAAAGATTATGCAATAAGCAGCCTATCTCTGATTGTTTGTTTGTATGTCGTGATGATCAAACAGAGAGAATGTTACAAGGTGTGGTATTAGCATCAATAGTAAGAAATCTGACTTCAACAGGTGTTATAGACATCAGTTTGTATAGAGGAGTTTCTTGTAGGTGGAAAAAAGTCAGGTGATAGCAAAACTGCTGCAGAGAGAAGGCCGTTGAGCCAGATAGAAAGTAGGGAGAACTAACAAGAGTGTTGATCGTGAGATGAGAAGAACATGAAGAGAAAAGGACGGAAAGGAGAGGATAAACACAAGTATACAGCAGACATCGAAACTCCTAATCCGCAGCGGCGAGTTACGAAAATTCACCGACCGTATTGCACAAAGAAGCAGAAGCATTAAGGAGACAACGAAAGGCAACAAGGGTGGAAATATACTAGATACCCCCATCTCTAATCGAAGAAACTCCGAGGAGCAAGTTGGGCAAAGGCAGGAGAGTAGCTGGTATATGCAGGGACATCGAATCAACTATTCGTTAACAATACGCATTATGTCGATAGCCAGCCTCTCATCGCCTCCTAAATTCTATCCCCATAGTTCCTCACTATCTGAGCAGGGGCATTACTGTGGTATAGAATGGAGGTTACCGGATAATCTTCCTCACCCTTCAAAGAGCGGTAACGCCCGTATGGTAAAGAAAATTCTTGGTGCCATAATGAGCGCAAGCACAGCCATGTGCCACTTCGATAGGCACGAAAAAGACTTTAACTTTTTTAACCCCAGCCGAATTAGTCTTCATTCTGCGATTATGCTGGCACAATCAACTTACAGACTGAAAGATATTGGCCAGAGTCTAAGACGTGAACTTCTGGACTCCTCACAACCCCGTCCACTCCAGAACTTCAAAAACATGGCCATGGAGTTAGAGCCTCAAGGCAAATACATGTAATTGTGTCGTAAACTTATATTGGCCATATTCTCACCGTCAATGTTCTATAACGGATGCTGTGAACAGATTTTGATAGGGCCGTCGATATTGTATGAGGTTGGATGCGAACTCGCCAACGACGACCTTGGGATCAACCGAGGAACCCGCCAACCTTAACCTTATTTTAACGACACCTAAACCATAACCTCTCCATCCCACGATCCTGACAACACGTAAAGAGTCCAACTCCTAATTTCAGATGTTCTTACGCTGTAAAATAGGAACCAGTATCCCTGATTTAACAACAATATTTTGTAATAGTCGGCAGCTTGTGGTACCACCAAAGTCTCTAATGTTTTAAGAACCAGCATCCCCCTGAATTCTCGCTCACCCAGACTTTCTGCGGCGTCTTTGAGTCCCTCATGTTCAGCAAGGCATATAAAATTATGACAAGGACCCAAACCATCTGCAGTGAAAGCGTTCCACGATTTGATATCCTGTGAACTGGTATCCCCAGTCAGCTCCATCTTAACCATTTGCGAGTCGGCTCAGTTGGGAGCCAACGGCATATTGTTCCAAGAAATACCCAACTACCTCAATATTAAAGTATCTCACTTCTTAAAGGTTTGAATACATGAACTGAACATCTGTGTGAAAAAGGATTTACATTGCTATGAATTAAGCTACCTAACAGCACTGACACACTTTGTATCAACTACGGAAGGTAGGTACATACAATCTACGATCATGACCAGCAGAAACAAGGTCAAATCTGAATCACATACTTTCTTTCACCCCAAACCCCAACCCCCTCCACCCCCACACCGAAAAAAAAAAAAAAAAAAAAGAAAAGAAAAGAAAAAAGAAAAGAAAAGAAAAAAAGAAAAAAGAAAAAAGGAGAGGCCAAGCAAGCAACACTAACTAGGTACACAGAATTATAAAGCTACGCATCCGTCACCAACACATACCTCACAATGCAGCGATTCCATTCGAGACCGGCAAATAGCACAATAATTTGAGAACAGGACCATTGTTCTAAACCATCCAACAGTCCTAGAAGGTATTTTCCTCATGAAAGCCCTCCAGCTGCTTGCAATACTCAAGGTCGAGGTCATATTCCCGATGATATTTTAATCCTCTCAGCATTATCTCATACACAATCGGACTTTCGCTTTTTTCATTGAAACTCAGATGAGGTGTAGGGGGTGGGCCAGCAAGGGAAGGAAATAACTCCCAACCCACATTGTCAAATCCTCCCTCCATATCAAATTCCCCCTCGAAATATATGATGTATTTATCCACTCGAGAATTGACTGCCTCAATTTTTCGCATTGCCTCAGACATTTCAAGGTACCATAGGTAGTTGACGTCCATATTCCACGGATTCCATGGACAAGGCAAAGTGGGAACTAGGATTGGTGTTGCCTGCTCTTCTTTTATAGCCTCTTTAGTTTTGGTTTCATTAGCTGTGGCTTCTTTGAATGCAGCATTTTTGGCTTTGATTTTTTTGACTCTGGCTTTTTCGAGTCCGGCTTTTTCAAATCTGATGTTTTTGGGTATGGCGCCTTTGCCTCTGGCTTGCTTTAATCTGGTTTCTTTTGGTCTATCTTTGAAATTGGCATCCTCGTGTCTGCCGTTTTCCAATCTGTCTTTTTCAGATCCCTTTTCTCTTGGTAACTCTTCTAGTAGGTTTTCTGCAGCTGGCTCTCTAACATTGGCTGTTTGGCAGTGAGAATCTTCTCCCAGTGATACGATGAGAGGCACGTTCAAAGTTTCGAGGACCCCGGCCTCTGCACAGGCCTCGTTTTCCTTTTCAGCCTGTACGTTGCTCTCTTGACCTTCTCCAGATCCTTCATTTCCATCTTCAGATGCGTCTGTCATTCCCGTATCTTCATCTTGTTTTTGAACAACATTCGGCATATTCTGGCTACCGCCACTATGTGTTCTATTGACGCTGTTCTCGAAGATGATGTGACCCTCGTGCATTGGCTTCTGAGAAATGTTTGTACGAGCATGGTCCTCATCAAACACATTAATCACGATATAGTTTGTTTCTCTAGGAAGCATATCATGGTTATATTCATTTCCGTTTTGGTTGACTTGGGGTTCTTCTCTTGGATAAGGTAATTGTTGGATCGCGTTATGGAGTTGATCGTTAGTCTCTGGCGCGGTATCATCAATCGTTGCAGAATATTGATCATAGGGCGTATCAGGATGCTGACTATGAGACACTCGGGGATGTGGGCCATCAGGCATACCTGAGAGCTGGTTATGGGTACCTGCAATCTGTTGCCCATAGCGCATATCTTGGAGCTGGGCATAGGCCGTTATTGCAGGCTGTTGATTATAGGACATATCAGGAAACTTACGATGATTCATTGCAGGATGTTTATCATAAAACATTTCATGAGGCTGGTTATGGGCCATTGTAGGCTGTGAATCATAGCCCAGTCGTCGGAGCACGTCCCCAAGTTGCTCATCAGTCATTTCGAAGGGTTGATAGTCGAGTATTTCAGGCTGTTGATTATACGGCATATCAGAAAGGTGGATATGAGTTACTGGAGGTGGTTGTTGGCCGTAATGCACTCCTGACAGCTGGCAATTGGCGATTGAAAGCTGTTGGTCATAGTGCGCTGTTGGGGACTGGTTATGGATCGCTGTGAGCTGGTGGCCATAGGGCATTCCTTGGAACTGGTTATGGGTCAGAGTGGAGTGTTGAACATGGCTTTCGTAGACGGCCTGTCCTAGATATTGAAGTTGCTCTGGCGAATATGTTTGAGGTGTTAGTGCCATAGAAGGCTGTTGCAGACGGACTTCCACCAGATTAGGCTGCGTCATGATGGAATTGTTCATCCCGATTTCCTGCTGTCTTGGTCGACGCTGTGACATCATGCCGTTTTGCTCCATGGTTGCCAATTGTTCAATCAGTTGTTGCTGTTCTATAGCGAAAGTACGTAGGCGTTGACCATATGCCTCGGGAACGGGGATTCTCCCGCCAGCTTCACCCAGTGCTGGATTGATTAGTCCAGGCGTCAACCCACGAGTGGAATTCACTGCCGGATCAATGCCTTTCTTTCGCAATTTCTGGTCGATTTCTGCCGCAGTCTCCTGAGTTTTTTTATTTCCAGTTCCCCAGGACAAAATGTGGAATGCCTGGCGAAATCTGACGCTACGCTGTTGCAGTGCATTGTTGGATATGCGCAACTTCGGGTTCATACGTTTGGTGATATCTTCCAGGAGGATCCGCCTATCAAGGCGCATCCATGCCTCAACTCGAAATTCTTCAACATTCGTAGAAATTCTGTCTGGCAGAATTTCCAAGGCGCGCAGGTTTGAGTCCCCTTCCCAGGGCGATGGCTTTGTGGGTAGTTGGATATGTGCTCTCACTTGGGGAGCGGTCGGTCTGAAAACGTATAGGATGCCGGGAAGGTTATCAACAGACCATTCTGTCTGACCAGGCATAGGGTCGGTGATATTGTGCACATCGGATCGTGCAGCAGCACTGTGCTGGCGTGGTACTAAATTAAACTGTCAGATTTTCCTGTGCAAAACACATGTATCAGAGTATTCACCTTTGAGTTTTGACGCCATTTTCTTTTCGTTACCGTCGACCAGCGGTGGTAACTCGTTTTTCTATTAATTGGTAAATTGGATTCAAGACCTGCTTGCTGGTCCGCAATTGCTGATATGAAATTGAGAGTGGTATATGTCGAGGGTCTATCTCGAAGCCCCGCTTCAAGATTAAGGGGTAGTGAGTGGAAAGAATACCAGATTCTTCTTATCTAAACGGGGGCAAAAAAAAAAGTTCTTGCTAGCAAGGAGAAAGAAAGAAAAGGAATTGTACGAACTTCGAACCGGAGATAGAAAGGTAAGTTCAAGAAAAGGATGAAAGGGATGTAGAAGGGATGAGAAAAGAAAAAGAGTTCCCTTTCGTCTCAGACGAAAGTGCACGACATGCGAGCCCCAGCTCCCTTACAATGGATCAGTGAAGATGGCTCAATACATGGGTTACGTAGCATTCTGGATAGGATATTGACCCCTTTAGGACTCTATTCACAGGCATAGGTGGTTCTAGATGCCGTGTGGGTGAAGAGCATAGCATCTAGATTCACTTACACTCTCGACCAAAACTCGATCCAACTGAAAGGCATTGCTAAGCATTGCTAATAAACACGGAATGCATAGGAAATTCTTTTCATTAGTAGTACCTGAACATTAGTAATAGCTGTAGCATTTCGTCAATTTCATGAAAAATATCAACTTTAACGACCTGATGTGCTCCAATAGGGAAATCAATGCCCCTTTTCCCAGGAACCTTACCGCTCCCACATTCACGTCCCAAAAAAAGCGTAACCTCGGAACCAGTGTTACTGCCGTAAAAGCCATAATGCCATGCCGTTTAAGTTCTTTCATATCTTTTTCTTATGAATGACGCTGATGAATACACGGACATGTCACTTCAAGCTGTGATGGTTTTGTCGCTTATCGCGGTTAATGATCTGGGTTCAGAGCTTCGTAGACCGGTCTAGATGGGAGGAGGCTGGGCGTTTAACTATATCTCCATGGATTATTTGGGCAACCACCAAACTAAGAACAAACCCATCCAGAAAGCTCCAATGCTCCAATTGAATACTGTCCCACACCAGTTATCGCTGGCTCTTATCATCTAGAGGTAACTCGTGATTCCTACAGAAATAAATGACAGCTGCACCAGGGCAAGGAGCTACAATGGCCACCAAGGAACCCCCCGCTAAACCATCGGAAACCTTGATTCCTTCCAAAAGGAAAACCACAGACAGTTCCGCCTCTGACAACGGCCTCCCCATAAATTTCACATCCCGCAAACCTCCCTGGTCCTATCTCAAGCTTCAGTTGTATGTAAAATTCACACCCCCACCCAAAAGCTGCCTCATGGGGAGAAAAAACTATATAAAAATATCACCAACACTAATCCCGCACAGAATCACTCAGCCCTCTCCCCCATCATCCTCACCCTCAACCCCCTTAGACGAAATAACAGCACGCACATACCTAACCACCGCCCTCTCCCAATTCCTCGGCATCTCCGGCACATCCATCTCAATCGACATCCTTAAAATCGAAAACTCCACAGGACAAAAAAATAATAATAACATAGTATGGATTCGCGTCCCCCGCGACGACGCAGCGGCTGTGGTAGCAGCTGTTAGTTCGTGGATTGGAAACGGGAGTCAGGTTGGGAGTAGTGTTTCTTGGAGAGTTCGGGCGAAGGGTAGTTTCCTGGGTGCGTTGATAGGTGGGACGGGGAGGGAATTGTTTGCACCTTGAGGGGCAAGGGATGATGGTTATTCTTCCCCCCCCCCAAAACATCTCCCAATGGCGTAGGCGCCAAAGATAAATCAATTTACATGACGGAACGGAGGCTATTAGAAGGTCGCCGATGTCTTAAATGGACCATCGCTTTGGATCCACTGACATCATGTCAAATTCCGGCCGGTGCGGTATATCGGGCTCGTTGCTTCTTCAGTCAATGCGTGCCAGTAAATGCACAATATCACGGGGTGCGAAGGGCCGAAGGACCATGAAACACAGCCGGGGTCTAAACCACAGGCTATCGAAACGAATGTTTTCACGGCGGTGAAAATTGGTTTGGCAATGATAATAATACACTTCGGAGAAATCTGTCGCTTCAAAAGTGTGCGATATAACTACCCGTCAATTGCTAACGTACTTCGACCCACGTATATCTCACAAAAGTGAGTTAATCATTTTACAATGTGAAGAACATAGGGAACATCTCCCCATCGATTTCCCCTTCTCTTGTCACATTCCCTCTTTGTGTATTTTGCAAATCATGGTTCATATTTCAGCTGTGTATGTGATATCAAGCTCGGCGTCTTCTTGGCAGGACAGTTAAGCTCTTAAAATCTGCGGTTCAGGGTTGGCTTGGTGCTTGTCGGTTCACAGCCATCGAGCTGCGAGTCGAGTTTTATTAAACTTGGGCAGCGCCTTCATTCATTTTTCCATTAGCCCAATCTCCCCCGGGAGGCTTGGGATGCTTCTCCCAACTCATTCTCTAAGTCATCAATATTGTCACGAGGGATGGAAAACCCTCATCTAAGCATGGGCGATTGGTTTAGTGGTATAATACCCCCTTAGCATTGTTGGTTGCTCTCGCATTACCCCACCAGCGTGGGGGTGGTCCAGGGTTCGATTCCCTGATCGTCCAAGTTTTATGTTTTTTTTTTTTTTTTTTTTTTTTTTTTTTTTTTTTTTTTTTTTTTTTTTTTTTCGTCTCTTGTGGTCCCTTTTTCTTTTAGGGAGATAATTGATTTACCCTTTGTGTTGCCGCTAGCTAGGAGGCCGTATAATTTATTCACTTTTGAAATGTGATTTTGAGCGGCTTGTTGCTTCTTCGATTTAGATTGGAGATACGGAGTACATTGGAGCTCGTTATGGAAGCGTTGTACGAGAGGTGGTTGAGACAAAATATAGATATGTCTCTTGGAGTTCAAGACACTTTGACAGTGCTGCATATCTAAGAGATAACTACTAGTTATGCCATTAACCTGTTACTCTAAATACAATTCGTTTCGTTTCGCTCCGCAAACCATTGGGAAATCTGGGGAATGCCCGGTGGTCTACGATGAAAATATCTAATTGCCTGCGGGATACGCCATTAACTACCTAGGTACGTCCATCCACAACAACAATACATATTGTAGTCATCGTTTCCCCAACAGCTAAACTATGAACGAACCCCGAAATTTTCATTGTTCAACGGCCAAGCGCCATGCAGAAAGCTTAAACCGATCGGATTATCTCCGGCCCGCAACACGGGGACCGGGGACCGCACAGGAGGGCGCTTCGGAACAGGCGGGAAGTTCTTATTGGCTTCAATCGCCGATGCCGCTGAGGTAAGAAGCGTGGGGCAGGTGATGGAGCTTGTTTCCCTGCTCTTGCGGGCGCCGGCCCGCCGATTGAACCGAGCATATGTTGGGGTCAAAGGGCAGAGTGGGAGGAGAGAGGTTGCCGCCTGCCTGAGGAAGGAGTACCTCAAGGTCACTAACTATAGTTAACTATAACTATGTAACTTAGTTTCTATGTATTAGATAAGTTATGGGGTGAAGAGGCCCGTTGACTTCCTTTCATCTCCCCTTCTTGCACCTTCATACGGCTTGCAACCATCTCTCCCAAAAGAGTTCGTAAGCTCCGTCGAACGGCTATCTATCTAGATATCAACGAGAACGGTTCCTATACTTAACCTCCCGGCTGCGTTGTTTGAACCCACCGTCACACCAGTGACCAAGAAGCCTTGATCTAAACACGTACTTTCTATCCCTTACCATCGCTCACAATGGCAGCTATTAGTCGATCAATGGCCAGCTTGAGAGCTCTACCGCGTCTCCAATCGACCCGGTCCTTTGCAACCTCCCGACACCTCCGTGCTGCTGCTGCTGTGAAGCCGTTTTTCTCCAGTGAGCCAACTGGCCCGCAGGTTAACACCGCCATTCCAGGCCTAAAGAATCAACAAGCAACTGCGGAACTGGGAGAGGTCTTCGACGTTAGAAGCATAAACATGATGGCAAATTATGACAGCAGCATTGGTAACTAGTAAGTTGGGAATGCCCAAAATCCGGAGACGCTGGGAATGGATGATTTTTTTAACCTATGCTTCCACACGTAGCATTGCGGATCTTGATGGCAATATGCTGCTGGATGTGTAAGTTCATAATGCTCCCCCTTTTATTGATGCGTT